TAATTTAATACTTGTTTAATAGGATTTTCTTTACGGATTAGATTATCTAGCTGATTAAATACCACAAGGGTATATATTCTTCGACTCGCTGAAGCTAACTTCCTTTCCCGATATGGCTTCAGTTTCACTTGTCACCCCAGCCCCAGTTCATTGCGGCTCTGCTCCGCCAACCAGAAGATTACAGGTAGTCCAGCTTGTTAAGCGGGGTCCAAGTCCGCGCCGTCTAATAACCATGTAGTGTCGAATGCGGGTCAATGTGTCAGCGGACCAACGGCTTTCGATCAAGTTTAAGTCAACGGCGGATGAAGGACACAAGGTGCTCCGGCGTGGCTTCAGCTCGTGCTCTGGGCATGCTCCACCGCCCACGGCAAGCTCATGGTGCGAATCGTGGGGCATGCGACATGGACTTGGAGATGTGGATGTGGCAATCTCTTAATTGGTGCCGTAACGCCGAATCGGTGTCGCTACGCTTGCCCACTCGATGGTCACTGCGTTGACACTCAGAAACCCAGCCAGCCAGTTATGTGGCCACTGGCCACTGGTCAGTCGACCAAAAGCCAAACGTGGCCTAATCTGCAATTGTCGCTCCGCAGGCTAACTGGTTGGTTGCCTCATACTCACATGCGGCTGATACGGCCACTTTACAGCCAAGATCAAATGAAATTAAAAGTGCACTTGGCGGCGACGGCTATTACGTGCTTATAGCTCCATAAATGCCCCCAGGAAAAACCCAACAATGTCAACTGCGTTTTTAGAGATCATATTTTACAGATAAAAATTTAATTATTACATTTAGGAGTTTTTGAAAAGGTACCAGTTTTAGGTGTGTGCTTAAGTTTATCTATCTTCTCTGTAAGAACGAAAATAAAGTGGTCAACTTGGAGAGATCATACCTATAAAACTTAAAGAACGGCCGGAAACCAAACAAATTTATAAGCTGAAGATTTAGTTATATTGCTTATTTGGGAGTTTTGGGATCTATAAACTGAAGATACAATTAGATTTTTTATTAGCTAATTTAAGGATCTATGAACTGAAGATTTAAATTATAAATTTGAAAGTTATAGGATCAATGAACTGAAGATTTAGTTAGAATGTTAATTTTCCTAATTTTAGGAGACTGAAATCTGGGAAACTAAAGTTTTATAGGAATGCTGGGGAAACAAAAATACTCTTAGTTATTATATTCCATAAACACTCCTCAGATATTTCTTTGTAGCAATTAAAATGTTTTTTTATATTTCTTAAAACAATCCTTTCATTTGTCACATAGACAGAAGCTATCAGAGATGGCCGCCAAACCGAAGTTCGTGTACGAGAAGGATGACCTGGCCACCATTGGGGAGGTGGACGACAACGAGGTGGACCGCATTGCAGAGTGCTTCAAGGGACGCAGTCTGTTCATCACAGGAGGCACTGGCTTCCTGGGCAAGGTCCTGGTCGAGAAGTTGCTCCGGTAAGTGGCTAGAAAGTGGGTAGAAAGTGGGCGGGCAGCTGCTCCATGCGTGACCTCATTAATCCCAATTTCCGCCATGGCTTATGCAATATTATTAATTCCTGCAGGTCGTGCGGCGGCCTCAAGCGCATTTATCTGCTCATCCGCCCCAAGAAGGGCAAGGATCCCCAGGAGCGCATCAAGGATATATTCCAGAATGTGGTAAGCAGGGTGGGAATTATGGAATTATGAAAACTATGAGAATTAATAGCCTGGCTTACGAAATTAATCAACTAACGTGTGTGTGGGCAGCTTTTCGATTCGGTGAAGCAGCTCCGTGGCGAGGAGCACATCCTGCAGCAAGTGGTGGCCATAGCTGGCGACGTCCTTTCGCCCGGTTTGGGAATCTCGGAGAAGGATTTGGAAACACTGCGTCAGGAGGTGTCTATCGTGTACCATTGTGCAGCAACAGTGCGGTAAGATAAATATATTTAATGTGTTGAAACCTGATCCACATCCGAAAAAATCTTAAAAACGCTTCGTTCTTACATCTGTTGCAATGTTAATTAAAAGATATACCTGTTTTAAAGTACTATTCCTTAATTACATAGTCTGATGATTCAATAATATCATACCTAAAAATTAGCTCTATTCTTAATCCCACAAGTTTTAGTTTGAGGATGCTTAAAGAAAGTCTGGTACATCTGTAGCAAGCTGCTCAAAACAGTCGGTCTTTTAGCTGTACGCCTTGATTTGGCTAAACTACGACTGAAAAACCACAAAAAATAAGTATTTTTGACTAAAATATGAATCGCAAAATAAAACCGATGTACCCCCTTACAAAAAATGAGAAATTGGGTCAAAAAATAAATGTTCCTTAGAGTGATAGGGATCGATAGCATTTGTAGAAAGCTGCTCAATATAGTGATATTCCATTTTATGAAATCCAATATCAAATCGTGCTTGATAGATAACTACTTCAACCTTTAACTCCCGATTCCTCCCCCAGCTTTGATGAACCTCTCCGGAGTGCCGTGTTCATGAACACCCGCGGCACCAAGTACATGTTGGAACTGGCCCAGACCCTGAAGCACCTGGACTTCTTCGCCTACTGCTCGACGGCCTACTGCCACCTGCACGTGAAGACGCTGTACGAGAAGCCCTACGACCCGCCGGCAGATCCGCACAAGGTGATGCAGGCCTGCGAGTGGCTGACGGACGACGAGGTGGCCACCATCGAGCGCAAGGTGCTCGGGGACATCCCGAACACATACGCCTACACCAAGTCCCTGGCCGAGGCCCTGGTGGTGGAGAAGTTTGACGAGCTGCCCGCCGTGATCCTGCGCCCCTCGATCGTGATCCCCATTTGGAAGGAGCCCATTCCCGGCTGGACAGACAACATCAACGGACCCACTGGCCTGCTTATCGGAGCGGGAAAGGGTGTCATTCGCACCATGTACTGCAATTCTTCCGGCTATGGGGATTTCCTGCCCGTGGATGTGGCTGTGAATGGTATCCTGGTGGCCAGCTGGAGGAACATCACCGCGGGCACGGACACCACCAATCGGGTGGCGCACATGACCTCCTCCAACGACATCAAAGTGTCCTGGGCGGAGATCATCGAGCTGGGTCGTTGGGTGATCGAGAACAAGGTGCCGCTGAATGGCGTTGCCTGGTATCCGGGAGGATCGATGAAGTCCAACTACTGGGTGCACTACGTCTGCATGGTGCTCTTCCAGTGGATGCCGGCTCTCTTCGTGGACGCCCTGTTATGGATCCTTCGCTATCCTCCTGTATTGTGCCGCGTCCAGAATCGTATCTTCAAGGGATTCGAGGTGTTCGAGTACTATGCCAATAATGTCTGGAACTTTGACAACTCGGAGGCGGTGAAGCTGCGCAAGCTCATGAATAACAAAGAGCGGCGCACCTACGTGATCGAGAAGATCGAGCTGGACCTCATCGACTACTTCACCAACTGCGTCCTTTGCGCCCGCCGCCTGATCCTGAAAGAGTCGGACGAGTCTATCCCGGCGGCCAGGAGGCACATGAAGGTGTAAGTACTAACCCTGCCAATGGTATACCAATCCCCCACTGACCATGATCTTTTTCTTTCCCAGGATGTGGGTAGTGGACAAGGTCTACAAGGGCATCTGGATATTCGGCATCCTCTACATGCTCTACAGGTGCTTCTTCGCAGGCTAAAACCCGTCCGAATGGGACGCTTAGTTAAGGACAAGTGCTGGAGACCAAAAGATGTGCCCTGCCCCAAGCCGTAGTTGTTATGTTTTCTATAGGAACTAAGTTTTCTAGTTATAGGCGGTGCTGTTGATAAGAAACGTTTGTAATTCACTTGTTTTGAAAGGCAGCGAATAAAACATTGGTTTATGTACGGTGTCGAGTTTGCCGGACTGTATGGGATATACAGGGTAGCACTTGGATTTCAGATCGGGAAATTGAGGTGATTCAAATTTCCATTTTTGAGTTTGGCGCGAAACGAAGCTACTTTGATTTATGTGCAGTGTTGTAAAACGCGTGTTGGAAATAAAATTTCACATTACATATAAGAACATAGGTAGAAAAGGTGAAATTTAGTAGCCAGTTCCATCAAAGAAGCAAGATCATCTATAAAATTATTGGTAAACTCAGGCAGCTTTAGTTTTAAACGGACAGTTTTGTTATTGAGAAATTATTTAATTTGTTTATCACCTTCTGGTTATAAAATAATAAAATATCCAAATGATCAATTTTTAAAATTATAAAATGAAGTAAAATTAAAAATTGTGCACTAAAATTAATTATAATATTCGAGGAAAATAAAAATCCACATATAGGTAAAGGGTTTTATTTATTTGTGTACTTAGGTAATTTAAAAACTTAAAAAAAATAATCTAAGAACTCCACAGCAATGGAAAAATAAATTTTAGGTACGATTTTGCCAACAGCGATATGTGACCAAATATTCAAGCTGTCCCGGTGCGGTATATTTGAGCGCTCCCAGCACGGTCACACTGCAATTCGGATGGCTTGAAAATCATCGATGTTTACGCGAATCGATAGATCGCAGGGCTTTGCTTTGTTTTGCAAAATCCAAGCGGAGCTGAGGCTGTGACAGATTGCGGGTGCGAGTTGCGGACCATCATTGCGTCATCACCAACTCCTGGCCAGAAAAGTGATTTGGGAACGAGGCAGGTGCACGTCCGGCAACACGGAACGCTCCCGGCGACGAGGACGACTAGGGATCAGTGGAGGAGGAGGAGAAGGTGGAGGTGGAGGCGCTGGCCGAGTCACGGGGGCTGGCCGACATGACCAGCACCACTGGAAGTGCTCCCAGCCTGGGACCGCCCACGAGCGGTGCTGGCGGATCTGGCACACTGGAGGGCACGCTGAGCAAGTGGACCAACGTGATGAAGGGCTGGCAGTACCGCTTCTTTGTGCTGGACGAGAACGCCGGGCTGCTGTCCTACTACACGGTGAGTGACTCCAGTGCACCTCTTGACTAACCCCCATATCGCACCCAGAACCGATTCCCCAGGGCCCGCGGCCTTATCTTATCTGCGATAGATACTTCTGGATACACACAAACACCAACACTTGTTGGTGCGCTTTTATTGCGAGATTTGTGGGCAGCCCATCACTTTTTTGAGTCGGACAGAGGCGTCTGACTCTTGCCTCGCTGGGCGACCTGGTAGGCACTTGAGTAGAAGTCGTAGAAGCCGTAGAACATGGCCATGATGACGGTGCTGAAGTAAAAGAGCACGATGCGGTCCATGCCGCAAAGTATCAGCTGGCAGGGAACCTGCACCAGGATGAGCGCGAACTGCGTCATCTGGGTCACCGTGATGGACTTCTTCACGGGTCTCAAGGCCTGCATCACAGACTTATCCGCCACGGCAGCCACGAAATAGTATGAGTACATAATGATGTGGACGATTGAGTTCAGGAACGCACAGAAGTAAGCAGCGGTGCCTGTGAAGTAGACAACATTTCAGGAAAGGATTGGCTATAAGACGCTTCAAGAGAGCTTACCATTCGTATTTAAGTTGATCAGCAAGGACGCCAACGTAAGCGTAGAGCAATGGTGAAAGATATGCAACTTGGTCACCTGGCTCTGTTTTTTGCGCAGCACAAAGATAACTGTCTCCAGAAGCTCGGACATCTTCAGCCAGAAAATGAAGTAGGCCAAAGAGAAGTAGCCTTGCACGCGCTCCGGAGTGCTTCCAAAATCGGTGCATTTCCAGAAGAATAAAATCTCGTTGTGCGAGAGATAGAGGACCTACGAATCTAGTCATTAGATGCTGATACTTATGCAGGCTGGAAAAACCCACCTGCTTGATAACGTATATGCAGGACACCACCTGGATGACATTGTGCACCAAGATAAGCTTCTTGAGCGTGTAGGGCTTGCGAGTCTCCATGAAACTGTCGGAGAGGGATTAAAGGTCTTATTTCTTACACAAGTGGACAGCCGCACACGCTGAATTGGTAATGCCAAGTCCAGCGACCCGCATGCCAATGAGCAATGCCGACTTCATTAGCATGTGGACTTACTGTGGACCCGCTTTCGTAACGAAGTACAGATAGAGAGATAGAACGGTGATCATGTACCAGGGATCCTTGTACACTGCAGGAATCTCCACTAGCGTTCGCACATCCACACCTACAATTGGATTAGAGAGATGGTACAATCTCCTTTCATACCAGTCCACAGAAGCTCACTTGCTGCCGCCTCCATTGTGATCCTTTGAGTTGGAATTTCTGTGGTCTGGATCCTTAAACTCGCAAGGTACTGGAGAACTGCTGCTCTATCACCTGGAAACGCTGGCACACATTTAAGCGCGAACAACTCGCTGACCACTGCTTTTATTCCCTTTCCAGCATTGATTTGAATTCGTTAATTTATAGCACGCGTAATACCCCTTTGGCTGTTCTATAATGAGCTCACCAAGTTCCAACTCTTTTCTTTTCAGTCGAAGGAGAAGATGATGAAGGGAGTGAGGCGTGGCTGTGTGCGCTTGAAGGAAGCGCTAATCGGGATCGACGATCAAGAGGACAACACCTTCACGATCACGGTGGACCACAAGACCTTCCACTTTCAGGCAAGTCATGATCAGTATAATATGAGCCCCACTAATGTTTCACCATAATTTATCATTCCTGATGTCATATCTCTTATTTAGCATTAATTTAGTTTTGTCAATAATGTTGCTCTATAATCAAAACCCTTGAAAAAAAATTGGAGGGAAAATATGCTAGCAATGCAAATTCAACATTGACTACTCAATGAATTGAAGAAGGAAACTAAACTGAATTCGAAAATAGTCTTGAATTCTTATGACGACAATTGGTTCAAGAGGCCAAGTACGTTTGTTTATCCAATATACAATGTCGTAGTTAAAGCCATGCTTTCAGACAAGCACAACTCTGCCCCGGATAACAGGTGCAACAATAGACAGGAAAAAGGGTATCTGGACAGCGACCTAGAAACCTCTGTCTGGCCCTCACGTTCTTCCTTTTGTTTGACTCTGTTGCCTTGATGTAACGATAAAACTTTTCCCAATACCCACATATACACACACACAAGCAAAGGAGCCCACTAAACTTGCCAACTTTCTAACTGTTTGCAGGCGAGACATAGCGAGGAGCGGGAGCAGTGGGTGCGCCGCCTGGAGGACACCATACGACGCCACGCGAACCGGTCGCGTCTGTGGGATAGCCAGAGCGCCTTCTACATTGCCGGTGGATACACGAGGGAAGTGGGCGGTACTGGAGTGGGCGGCAGACGACCCAACCACCTGGAGCTGGTGGCGCGCCGAGTTTCCGAGGCGGATGCCTACCTCCAGCTGATGATTGAACAGACGAACGTGAGTACTGTGCCACGTAATGCAGACATTATGCAATTTACTGTCACTTTCATTTTCTCTATGTGCTGCTCAGTTGCTGGACAAACGCATCGCGGAGCTGACCGATCCGTCGGAGCAAACCAAATGCAAGGCGCTGCAGGACAACGCAAGTGTGAGTAGGAAGACCCTATGAATCCGGCGCCTCTGTGAGAGAAACCTCCAGGTGCAGCTCGTCCCGGAAGTTGTTTGAAAGTTTCTCCACTTCGGCATACGTTAGACGCCAGTAGTCTTTGTCAACGGCCATGAATTTCTCCGTGTCCTGGCTGTGAATTATCTGTCGAACACCCACCACGGTGCCGACCCTTTCGGCAGCATCTCTTCCGCACAAACAGAGCGTGGCGTTCAACTGCAGCCGGTCACTGGGTGTGACCAGCCAGAAGACAAACACATCTTGCTTCTGGCTATCTGGTGACCGGATTTTTTCTATCCGTGCCTTGTTCTTCAGAGCCGTATGAGTCGCTGTCCGGCAGATTAACACCACCAATGGGATGTGAGCTTCCAGGTGCGAGTGCTGCTCCGGCAGGAAGCTGTTGTAGACCTCTCGTGGTCGCCGAGACATCGCAAACGGATGCTCTATCTGCCCGCCGTAAGCCAGTAGACCCAACACCTGGTTGACCCGAAATTCACAGGTCTTCGGTTGGAGAGAGAGCACAACCCGTTCGCCCTCCAGCAGCGGCAAGCAGCGCTGGATGGAAGCATCCTTGTGGTCGTGATCACAGAGGTAGTGCAGCAAAAGCAGCTGGCTGTCCACACGCCTTTGACAACTCTCAAAGAGGCACTTGCTCACGCCGCATTTTATCAGCAGTGGTTTTGGCTCGGGATCTTCTTCCTGTCGAGCTGAACCGGCTTCATCCGGTGGAGCAGGCTCAATGACATCCAAGCTCGATTGCGGCGATGTTTTCCTTTGACGCGACTGCCTCGACTCGAGCTCCAGCAACCCCGCCTGCAGTGTTTCCAGGTTGGAGTTGAGCCTCTTCAGATCGGCATCCAGATTAAACCTGGTCTTTATCTTGTGGTCCAGCTCTTGCTGCTCTCGCTCACGACGTTTTTTGTAAACTTGAAGTTGTGCATACACCTCGTCGATGCTGTGGAGGTCAGGATCGAGTAACTCCATGACGGATTAGGTCTGATTAAAGGTTTATATGTTAATCGATTCGCGGGAAAAGCTAGAAATTTAGAGAGTCGTTTTGCGGAAGTGTGTTTGTTTTCCCAGCGGAGTTTGTCGGCCGAATCGTATTGCCAGGCCCACTATGTCGCCGCCCACCCATATCGATTTCCAATGCAAGTTCAGGGTTAGCTGGAGGCCAGATGCACAGGCGTGAGAGAATGTCACTCGACCGGCATCTGGCCACCAGCGGCAGCTGCTCACTTCTTTGGCAAACTTTGGCGAGGCCATATCGCTGGTTTTCACCACTCCCGCTTGGCTAATCATCACATGTTCTCGTTTCAGGCCATGCTGGATCACATTAAGCACTCGATAGTCAGCCTTCAGATTGCCAAAAACATGGCCCACCCCATCAATGGAATCTATAACGGCCCACCGGCCACTGCCTCGACCAGTTCCTCGGCCAGTGGAGCTGCTACGGGAAGCAGCAACAACATTCAGGCCGGTGGCCTAAAGGTGCCCCTGGAGGGTCAAATGGGCGGCAAGGGTGAGCTGGGCGACGACGAGGACGACTCGGCCACTGAAAACGGTGAGTGGCTCTTGGCCAAGTAACTGGTAATTATGCCAGGGTCAAGCTGCTAATCGAATCCAATTCGAGCGCCCTGTTTGCATTCACTAATCTTGCTCTCATCTTGACAGCCACCACCGCTCCTCTGGGTCTGGTTGTGCCGGAAACCTCCTACTCGAGCAGCGAGGGCGAGGAGGACTTCTACGATGCCTACGACGATCCCTTCACCAGCCTTGGCAGCTCCCCGATTGGCTGGTGAGTGGACCACTTGCAGGTCTTATAAGTAGCAGCGAAAGCAGCCCTCTTGACCAAGTGTGCCGACTGGCCATCAATCAGATGCGATGCGGCACCCGGCGAGCGTGCAGTGCAATGCGAGATGTGTGCTAAAATTACGCATTCGTTGCCCGCCAGTCTCAGACCCCCGGCTCCTGGCCTGCATCTCCTTCTCCTCAATCTGTGCCTTTAAACAAGCGCATGCGCCTGAGCTGCGCATGCAAAATGCATTGCCCGAAGTTCGTCGCAGTCGCTATTTCGGGGCAGTCTGTAATTTCGGCCAAGTCGCGTGTAAATAATAAAAACAGGACCTCGTCCCCGTCTCAACTCCCATCCAACCCATCGGAGCTTTCTTGGCACAGCTGACACGGCTTCGTCGTCGGCGCCTTGCTTCGTCATCGACATCCTTCGTCCTAGTCGTAGTTACAGTCGCCATTGTGTATGCCCATCAGTTGTAGTTTCGTTCGTCATCGGCTCGCAGTGTCGAAGCGCTCCTTTGGGTGCAATCCGACCCCCCGCCTCCGCTACCCGGCTGGATTTTTCAGTAGTTTTTCTGTTTTCCACTAATGGCCTAGCCCGTTCGGCGGCTTTGCCGAGGCATTTGGAATCGAGAGCTTCCGCTTCAAGAGCGAAATTATGCAGTAAAATATCCGGCCAGCATCAGCATCCCACGCCATGTTTAAGAAGTGGGTCCGACGCGTTAGCCTAAGGTGAGGATGCACAGTGTACACTGTACACATAATACAAGTGCGCCAGGTCGTCGTAAGTGTTTCCCTCATAAATTGTAAATGAGGCAAAGCAACAGAGCACGAAAAAATGGGGAGGATGATGCGGGCCGCGGAGGCTGGGGCTGCTCGTCCCAGTGACGCACACGCACAGGCTGACATCACGCTGTAGGATTTATGTCAGCCCATTACTTATGCCCAGACACCGCAGGAATCCTAATCAACAAGTCCTGATTTCACTCTCGTTAACCATTTTTACAGCGCCACGCGCGGCTTCTCGGAAACCACATCGCCCACCCACGAGAAGGTTCCGGATGGCTTCGCCAATGCCGAGCCAGTGCCTCTGGGCGAGTCACTTGCCCCCCAAACGCTGCCAGAGATCGATGAGAGCTTAGCCGATGCGGATGCCAGCGTTAAGACAGCCAGGACCGCGACAAGTTCCCGAAGTGCCAGCTACGATAATGGAATAGACTACGACGCCCTGTACGAGGAGGAGGAAGAGACGGACCTTAGCATGGAGGCGCACGGTTCAATGATCACGCATCTGCTGTCGCAGGTGAAGATCGGCATGGACCTCACGAAAGTGGTACTGCCCACGTTTATCCTAGAGCGCCGCTCGCTGCTGGAGATGTACGCCGATTATTTTGCCCATCCCGATCTGTTTTTAAAGTAATCTTTCACCAAGCCTTATGATGAATATAACTCATAAAGTGTCATATCCCACAGAATATCGGATCTGGATGATCCGCGCGACAGAATCGTGCAGGTCTGTCGCTGGTATATGAGTGCTTATCACGCGGGACGCAAAAGTGCAGTAGCCAAGAAGCCCTACAATCCCATTTTGGGCGAAGTCTTTCAGTGCCATTGGGACATTCCTGGTGAGCAATGCAAACTAACAAACTCTGACCAACATTTATATGTTTATTTCTTGATTTCAGGGGAATCCCAAGATGCTGAGGAGGTGCGTGACGGCCCAGTGCCTTGGTGCAGGCGGGATCAGCTAACCTTCTTAGCCGAGCAAGTGTCGCACCATCCGCCAAGTAATAAAATCAAGGAATCCCCTTTAGAGGAAGTAATTAATATATTTATTGATTACAGTTTCTGCCTTCTATGCGGAGCATTACAATAAAAAAATCACCTTTGCGGCTCATGTCTGGACTAAGTCGAAGTTCTTGGGTCTTTCGATTGGAGTTCACAACATTGGCGAGGGCGTGGTGACCCTGGTGGATCGCAGCGAGGAATACATAGTGACCTTTCCCAACGGCTACGGCAGGTGAGGA